TCTCCCTGGAGAATTTTTTTTTCTTTTGCAAATGCCGAAAAAAAAAAAAGAAAACCGGGGTAGCCACCACGCGACAAGTTCATAAGTACCTCGGTTTATATTAAAATAAATAAACACCATACGGCCTATGTTGTGACAAGTCCAAGATGGCCGCCGTAGCGCCTCTACCTCCGCTTCCTGACATTGGCGACAATGTATAGGCTTTGGAGTCCCAGCGGCAGCTATACGTAATAGAAAGCTTCCCCTCGCGCCTTCGGACTATGTTTCGCTTCGTTTTTTCGCGCTCTGCGGCGTCTTTTAAAGGAACATCGCGACAATATTTAATTGGAACGTTTCTCACTGAACTCGAGCTTATACAGGCACTATGTTCCGTTTCAAATGATTTGAAGTCCGACCAGAGCCAAGGCTATACAATTGGATGCAGCCAGGCCAGCAGCGACCCATGTGCACCATCCCGGCGCACGTCGCCTTTGTGCGTTTGCCGTCATTGGCCCAACCAATTACGTGGAGGGAAATGCGCACGATCAAGGCGGATTCGCTCTGCGTGATTCACTTAGCAGACGACGGCAAACAAACAAAGACTACGAGGGCCACGACGAATACAACTTTGGCGCTGTAGGATTGCCTCCATCGGAACGCGTTGCCTACGGTCGAACACAAAGGGAAACGGAGTACAGTATACACCCTAGTATACACGAACCCAGTGTTTACAAACCAAGCCCGCTTTGCCCGCACCGGGTGTGAGCACTGCGTGTGCGCAGAAACCAAATTCGGGAGGAGGGAAGCGTTTTGCGCATGCGCAGTACTACCGACAGCAGCGCCACCGCTGTGGCGTGGCGTCAGTGAGATGAGTTGGTCTATACAGGGTGTTCCACGTAACTTTAGCCGACGTTTAAAAATATTTCGGGGCGCTTTAGAAGGACGAAACCAGAGGAATTCGTTTGTTTACTTCTTGGACCAAGTCAGGCTATATTTTTGTTGTCAATTAACAAATTAATTACGTAATTAATTAACTTTTCAGGTATTAAATTTAGAGCAAACGTTTTGGTGGCAAAGTTGTAGAACGTCCTCAGAAACATCCAGTTCAGTGGCTTTTGTCAAGAAATCTCTAGCACAATTCGTTTTCCCAAGCTTAAACAGAAAACTCGCTAAAAAAATAACACAAAACAGCTATAATTCGTCAACGACGCCTTGGCAACAGCGCTCTATCTATTCAGCACGCGGGCCTAGTTTATTCAAACCACGGCCAATACAAAGACGCGCAAAGGTAAAATCACATGTCTTTTAAATTTTTTTGTTGTGATTCGCTGGATTTTTTTTTTTTTTTTGTAGCCCACAAAAAAGAACCATATTAAGGTTTCTTCATAAAAACCACAGATTTTTTTTTTTTTTTTTGAGAACGCTCTACAACTTTCTGTTTGGAACTTCTCCTTTTAATTGAATATTTCTATATTTTATTAATTAATCCTTTTGAACTCGTTAATTGGGAAAAGGAAGAAAAATAGCTTGACTTGCTCCAAGCAATGAACAAACTTTTTTTTTTTTTTTTTTGGTTTCGTCTTTCTAAAACGCACCAAAATAATTTTGGCTACACTTACACGGAACACCCTGTACATATACGACACTCCAAGTATACTCGCGCACAGCGCCACCGACCAAGAAGATTCTTTGTCTTGGTGGAATTTCGAGGATGAAAAGTAGACCTTATCTTTCTCAATGTCTCCTTCGGAAACCCAGATAGTAACTATTATACCGCAGCGTTGACGCATTTGCAGCGAGTACCCGGGTGGAGGATATTCAAACGCGGCCTTTCCGGAAGATCCGAGGAAGCCTCGCAACGAAGCGAATTGTGACGCTGTTCGGACGTACACTCGTGCCGGCTCGAACGCTTTGTACGTTGTGGTTGCGGCATGATTAATTATTTCTTATCATTAGAAGCTCGAAACACACACAAAAAAATAATAATAAAGCGAACAGGAAAGAAGGTCCTCACATACTCTGCTTTGCTTTTCTTCTGTCTTCTCTGCGTCCTGAAATCACTAAGTGTAATACCAACATCAACTTCGTCTTCGCTTCCTGGATAATTTGACGTGCCGTACATCTGAATGTTACGATGCGGAAAGCAGACGCTGGGGCACCGTATATTTCCGGAAAGGGCAATTGGGGCTCGTGACAATACGTGCCTCGTCAAATATTCGGGTAGTGGCTCGTGTCAAATCGCTGCTGTGAGGGAAACATCCGAACTCTAACAATACTTGGGACTCGGCATGTGTCCGGCGCTTTGCCAGCTCCAGGGCATGCATGGCTACGATGAACGTAGGCAACATTTTATCGGCCCCATGGTCGCTTTCTCTTGTTGCGAATTGAGGAAGCGAACGCTGCTAGTTTCTTTTTTTTTTTTTCTGCTTGTTTTTCTGGGACTGTCATTGCGTGGGGGAGACAAACTAATGAGCGTTTTCTAGATCATGAAGGTCAGGGATTGATTCTAGGCGACATTTAATGAAAGTACAAAATATTGTTACGCCACTCGTTTAAAAATAAACATCGCCCTTTTCCTGGTTGAGCGACGTCGCCGTCTGCTTACCGCGCGTTGCATTGTGGGACGTTTCCCCTAAAGACGTCACACGTGACGTCGCGTGTGATCCATGAGGGTCACACGCGACGACCCATCCATGTGGGTGATCCATCTGTATATGTCATTTGATCCCCCCTCATGTAATGCATTTCATTTGAAATGCCTTTGAGGTAAAATAAACTGAACTGAACTGAACTGAACTGAACATTTCCCGCTAAATATGGTCAGAAGATGTTCCCCTAAATTTAGCGGAAAAGCTTCCTGCCAAATTTAGAAGGAAAATTTTACCCTGGTGACGTCATTATAGGCGTGACGTGTGCGGTCACGCGTGACGTCGCGAGGGTAAAATTTTGCCGCTATATTTAGTGGGGAAATATTTCCGCTAAATATAGCGGAAACATTTTACCCTTGTAACGTCACGTGTGACGTCACGTGAAACATAGTGGAAATATTTTTCCGCTCGAGAAAATGTTGGTTAATATCCCGAGCGAACATCTCCAGCTAAATAGCAGGGGATCAGGAGAGGAGGGGGCACTGTACGGAGGGGGAGGAGGAGCATACCCTCCCCTACTCCTCCTCAAGAGCTGCGCTCTAGTTCGGCATTACCTTTTATTTATTTCATAAAAAATGAAATAAATAAAAGGTGGGATTTTTTTTATAGAAAACCGACTTCAAACTTGCAACTCTTTTTTTTTTAGAAAAACTTGCAAGTTTGAAGTCGATTTTTTAAAAAGAAAACAGCTTTTATTTCTTTCATCTTTTATTTACAGTTAGGTAATATAGTAGTCTGCCAGGACCTACCAACAGAAATTGTAATATATTTGTTTGCATGGCGGCTATTACGACTCGAATCTCGTGCTGTGAGTTTTGAATGGGACTTCGCATAGACGCTCAGCTGAGCGGAATTTTTACCTACGTAAGGTTTTCTATTTAATGTTAGTACTTACCTCAATATCTGAGCGTAAAAGCCAGTGAAGCAATAATAATTATCCTAACAATATTTATTTACTTGGCACTGGCGTGATTTGCAAGGTGTGTGAGCTTCGCCCTAAGTATTGACAGAAAAGATACTTAACAATAGACTCCCGGACAAACTTAAGTCGATGAAAACGTCTAAGTAACCCGGCATGAATCACTGAAAATAGAAAAGAAACCTAAACACATCGCTAACACGTTGGAAGCCTTACAAGCTACGAAATGCCTGTTATTTTACGAAAGAGTCCGCACGCGCATAAACCATACTTCCTAAGCGTCAGATACTAAATCGTACATATGTATATGCACTGCATATGTGTTTCACATAAAAAAATATGACAATTACATGTCAAGTTGGGTATTTCAAACTCAAAGCCGAAGGCAAAAGGCCCCAGAGGAATTCTCTGACGATCTGCATTCCCTAGTATTGGGAGGAAGTAAGCGCTCTGCCCCGCACTTGTGGATACGGACTTCGAAGTAAATTTTTTTAAGTACACTACTCCAAATTTGATTAATGTTTATGGTTGGATATTGAGGTAACTGCTAACGATAAATAGAAAACCTTGCATAGGCCAAAATTCTGCTCAGCAAAGCGCCTCTGCGAAGTCCCGTTCAAAACGCTCATAGCACGAGATTCGGGTCTTAATAGCTACCATACAAACAATATATTACAATTTCTGTTGGTAGTTTCTGATAGACTACTATATTACTTACTCTGAACAAAAAATAAAAGAAATAAAAAGTTTTTTTTTTTTTACAAAATCAACCCTAAACTTGCCAGTTTTTCGAAATTTTCGTTTTTTAGGCACGTGTAGCGCATTATATTCTTATCGCGAAATATTGAAATTATACTAAAAAAAGAGCTTAGTTGGATCTTTACGGTGATATAAAGATTATAAAAATATGTTGATTAGGTCACACAACAAAGATTGCTGAACTTCGTCAAACATCGTCGCAGAGAGGTGGTTTGACAAAAAAAAAATCATTAAGAATGTGATCTACACGCTTAATTAGCACAAAAAAGCCTATCTCTAGAGTGTTCCCAAAAAGTGGTATAGATGCAGCGTAAAAAGTAGGGAAAAGGGATGTAGTGAAATATGGCACCTCTGATAAGCTAGAAAAACGTCAGTTTCCTTTAAGGCCGGTTCGACGGTTTATAACCTGAGAACAAAAAATCCGACAAAATTGCCGTTTGCGTCTTCTTTTATTATAGGAAATGCCCCAAAACATATATTTTTTTTTGTCAAAATTAAAAATTTGACCCTAAATCCGTGCATCAGTTCAGATGAAATCACCCATATATTAATTCTTTCTTTTGTAGAAGTTGTAATTATTTTATCAGATTGTGCTGCAGTCGGACTTAGTGTGAAACTGTATGATCACGTGACTTCACAAACAACTGCTACACATTGCCTTTTGCACTTTTTGCACTCTTTTGTTTCATACTCAGCTGGCCTGATCAAGTTCGAGATCCCGCGAAAGTACAAGCTCTGCAAAGAGGCGTGGACTCCCGAGAGTGAACTGGTCACGGCGGCGCTCAAGATCCGTCGTATTCAGATCCAGGCGTTTTACGTACAGGACATCAAGGACATGTACAAGGGAGACTAGAACACTGGTTCCGGCCACAGACGTGCCTTGCCAAAACGGCTAGCCTGCAAGCTCGCCGTCGACCATCGCGCCAGCGATCTCGTAGTCAGAGCCGGTGGACATTTTTGGGTTTAGAGGAGGCTTTGAAAGACGAGGCATCGAGCGGTTGTTGTTGTTTTTATATTTTCTTGCGGCACTTTATGAAGAGGACGCGGTCGGTATATCCTATTTCTCCATGTTAAGAACAGAAAAGCCAAATAAACACCGCCGTACTTTTGGTTTCCCAAAAAGAGAAGGCGCATATCTTTCGCATAAGACGCGCATTGACGTTGGTGCGCTTCCAATTATTCTGGAGGACGACTTCTGATGAGCGTTTCTGCGTTCGTTTCTTTATAAGTGTTCGATTGGTACTATGAACAAACTAGATCTTCTTATACAAATTATCTTGAAGCGACTTTTTTTTTATTTAGTATATGTGATGTCTAAAAGGACCATGAAAATATTTTTCTGCTTTCGCTAAATACTACTTAGATTCAATTCTTAACGTTAATAACGGAGTAAACTTGCCTTCATTTTTTTACTAGGCAATGAAATTCGCCAGAAAATTCAAGAAATGTGAGCATCGTTCATCCTCTCAACACGGAGTTAGAACAAGTGGCCACGTGACCAGGTGCCTATCCTGTGCCGCCAACGTTAAATGGGTCATGAAACGATATCCGGTTGGAATGTTCATAACTTTGCAGAGGAGTACTGGTCCTAGTCTGGCCCAAGTATACTCGCACAGACAGCCTCTGATTCAGAAGCTTCTTTGTCGCGGTCAGATTGTGAGGATAAAAGAGGCCTATTTCTTTCAGTCTTGCCTTCATAAAGCTTGATGACGTTATTGTGGGATCGAAACCACCCGCCAGGCGACAGTCGAGCGCCGCTCGTAGATTGGACACGAGAACTGCGTGACCACTCGACTTCGACTCGTAACAATCAATGCCTCGGCGGACACTCGGGTAGTGGCTCGTGTTTAACCACTTTGATGATGAGAATAGTTGAACTCTAACAATGTCTGGAGCTCAGCACGCGTTTTCAACTTCGCCAAAACCAGCTCGTGGCTATGATCCACGTTGCCAGCTTAGGATAGGCACCAGGACCAGGCCACGTGGCCGCTTGTTCTGGCTCCGTGTTGAAGGCATAAACGGTGCTTATATTTCCTTTCTTTTTTTTTTTTTTTTGCGACTGACATTTTTTAGAAACAAAGTCTGACAAACTTATTCGGTTATTAACATTAGCGTGTGATTTTAAGTAGTATTTAACGAAAGTAGCAAAATCATTTAATGGCTCCCGTAATCATAGCCACGCTCTCAGGCTGGCAAAGTAGAAAACGCGTGCTGAGCACCAGGCATTGTTAGAATTCGGCTATTCTCATGAACGCAGTGGTTGGACACGAGCCACTACTCGAGCGTCCGCCTAGGCATTGATTGTTACGAGCCGAAGTAGAGTGCTCACGCAATTCTCGTGTCCAATCCATGAGCCGCGCTCGACTGTCTTCAGGAGGGTGGTTTCGATCCCACCATTAAGTCACCAACCTTTGAGAGAGCAAGACTGAAAGAATTAGTACCCATTTAACATCGGAATTTCACCGCGACAAAGAAGCTTCTGAATCGTTGGCTGTCTTTGCGAGTATACTTGGGCCAGACTAGGGCCAGTGCGCCTCTGAAAAGTCCTGAACATTCCAGCCCAATATCGTTTCATCTCCCCTTTAATAAGTGTCCGAGACAAATTTTTATTTTGTGACAGACAAGGAATACTAATTTTTGCCGCGGTTGACAAATAAAACAAAACACATCAAGAGCTCGATGGATGAGCAGCGATAGCTCTTAAATGATATATTTTCTGCACTGATTATGAGGCACTTCCGAAGGAGTGCTTCTCACGTAGACTACATTGCACGCAAGTATATTTTTGTCCAAGTAATGTAAGAAGACGGACACAAGTCCGGAATTCAGGACTTGAAGTCGGCCGTCCGAAGTCACCTAAAAACCGCGTTTACATGAAAATACGACATCAGCGCATGTCAACGTTTACATGGATGGGCATCAACTCAAGTCTTACGCGAAGGTGGTGCTACTCCATGTCACATCTTAAAGCTGCGTTTCCGGCACAAGCTGCACCAGCCGCACCATGTTTTCCGGTGCTTCGTGCCCGGAGCTCCTTTTGACCTTTCGATGCTTTCGACGAGCGTAAAGATCGTGCCATCGCTGCGCAAGAAGTTACGAGACTCAAGAAACATAAAAATCCAAGCGCTTTGGGCCCCGGGGCGGGCCGCCGGGCCACTCTGGAACAGGGGCGACTTGGGTGCGCATGCCCTGGCGAGCGATATCGTTTCCAACCGCTCTGAGGATGCCGCCGCGCTTCGCCTCGCCAACCACGACCGGACCCCGAGGCCGAGAGCCTCCGGCGTAGCCAAGAACTGCACAGAGGTAGAAAAAACGGCTCGTTCTACGGCAGACATGTACAAGTTACCCAAAAAAAGTAATTAAGTTAAGTTACTGAGTATTGACGTCAAAAGTAATTTGAGTAGAGTAGAGATTATTCAAATAGAAAGTAATTGAGAAAATTACTAATTACCGTAAAAAAGTAGCGAATTTTCTTTTGAAGTTACTTTGAAATGTTTTTTTTTTTATGGTAAAAAGTAAGTAGAGAGGCTTTGATTCGTTAGCGAACATGTGCTAGCCAAATATGAATCGGCTTGTTTTTTTTCTTTTTTTTTTCGCAGAAATGCTTTAATAGCTGGTTCTGCTTCTGCGTGTCTAATTGTTTTGTACTTTCTTGTTTGTTTGGTCAATGATGTACTGCGAATGTGTCATTTGTACATTGAGGTTTAGAACCGTCTGAGCTTGATATTTTAGACAGTGTTTGCTTATCTACAGTGTTGCATAAAGTACATCTAAAAAGGACTTGACGTAAAGTACAAAGTAAAAGAGAGGTTATGTACTTCAAGTAAATTAGTAAGTACACCGGGTGCATATATGTACTTGACGTAACGTATATAAATGCAATATATTTCACGGTAAAGTACAAGCACTTTTAACACAATCTTTCATGATGCTCTTTCCTTCCCTATACTGTGTTTTTTAAACTGAAATGCATTGCTCCAGTACTAATCGGAGGCGCACCAGTTTTTTTACAGAAATGGCAGCAAATATTGTATAAGGTCAGGTCACCGCAGAGTAGTTGTTTTACTCGCGCTGACGAGCTATTTGACACAATCAACTTAAAGGCACTTATTTCCATAGGTCTTATAGCCGCCACTACTTCACCCAGAGAAATGACCAGATGACGTCTCGAAATAGCGCGTTTTCACACAAAGATACCGCCATTTGTTTTTTTTTCATATTCGAGGAATTTTTATTGAAGTTGGGAGTTTTACTTTCCTCGAAAAATAGAAGTACAGGCTGAGAAAATTGACTTCAAGTAAAGTACAATTTTTCTAAACAGTAGTACTTTAAGTACGATGTACATAGAGTACTTCCTAACACTGCTTGTTTATTATTTTTATATAAAAACGGTGAGGGAATTACTAGAGGTTTTTCGAACGATTTATTAATCTTTGAAGATCTCCAAACTCTGAGTTTTGGGAGGAAAGGCCACGCAAAAAGGTAATCTTTGCGATTCCTCGAGTACAGCACAAACTATGGGAGCACAAGATGAGTGTCAGAGCAGGTGCTGCATTTTGTTGCCTCCTTTGAGCGAGGATGCAGTGTGTGCACCTCCTGTAGTGGGCGAGAGTTTCTACCAGGACCAACTTAAATAAGGGGGAGACCTGTCTACTGAACGGAGGCTCAGCGCCGGCTCAGTAGTACGCGCATTCCTCACGAACGCTTGTGGTGGCGCTCGGAGCCCCCCTACCTTCCCTCCCGGATCCAGTCCGGGACGCCTTGGCAAACACCGAAGCGAGGTGGCTACGCCGCTAAAATCTGTGTGCTACGATACGAAAATTTAAGTGTCGACTCGAACTGCGGGTAAATGGTGCACTGTTGCGTGCCGCTGTGTACCTCGCACAACAAAAAGGGCGAATTATTTCTATTTCACAAATTTCCATCACCAAGTATCCGCAGAATGGATTAAAAGAATCTCAAGAGCAGGTAAGTGTCGACTTTTTTTCTTCATCTCAGTCATTTGGAAAAATAAAAATAATAGCGTCATATTGTATTAGCAGAAAAAAAGGCATTCAGGACATGTTTCAATGTTGTTTTTTTTTCGTTCTTTTCTTTTAAATGTGAAAAGAACTCCCAATGGCGCCCAAGTGATAGCGGGGGCACTGTCCTATGCTCTCAGAATTTTACAGCAGATGACAATGAGGAAAATGTAAATTAAAAAAAAAAAAAAAAAACCCAGAGCGGTGCCAACGATGTTCCGTGTTCGAGATTTATCCGATCGACAAACAGTGCAATCAAAGCAGACTTGAAAACACCCGGCGACGCCCGCACCACCATGGCAAAAACAAAAAAAAGTATGCTATTTTTTTTTTTTTTTTGCGTGCAATTTATTTTTTAGGATAATTGTAACAGTTATACATGGCGACACAAGATTTTTATTTGCTACGGACGGCGAGCCCGGTGAACGAAAGGAATACTTCCTCAAAAGGGCCGAGGTGGAGTCGATGGACCCCTCTATATTTTCGCTTGAAAACAGATTCTTCGAGTGCGTGGACAACTGGAAGAGAACGGCACCGTCGTTCAGCGTATTTCTAACGTCCGAGACGCGCGAAGCCTTAGCAATCAGAACGTTGTCTACTGTATTGTGCACACGCAATCTGTTGGACCAAGGAGTCAAGTGCGTTTTAACGTCCAAGTTCTCTTCACACCGAGAAGAGTCGCCCTTCTCTGCGGTGGAGCTGAACGGATGCCTAAGGCGCCCTCTCCTTTCTGCACAAAAATCTTATCATCATCATTTATTATCCTTGTAGGTTCTTACGGGCATTCCACAAAGGAGCGGCACAGTTCGATATCGGTGCGCTGCTGCAAAAGCCAGGACTGCAGTCTGCTGCTCCGCCACGAAATATGAAGAATATTTTGCAACACTTCTTAAAGGAACTTCAGACGTTCCCAGATAAGGAACCATTTTATTGTTTATAACAAATTAAAACTAGTAAAAAACGCAAAACAAAATTTTTGGTAGGTTT